TATAGCCTCTTTATTTTCTTAATGAATAATTTAATTAACAATCATATCATATGAGTAATTATTATATACTATGTGCATGCATCAAACAAAATAAAATATTACTAGTAATAATCCTTAAATTTAAATTCCAATCGTAATTAATAATTTCAATGTATATGAATTTTTAATGATAAATTAAAAGAATCTAAATAAAAAGCATCAAAATCAAAATAATTTTTTTATAAATCATTATGGACCCCTCTACGGGTAAAGGCCTCCTCTTTTGATGATGTATTTGATGACATTATTAGTTAAATAACGGCTACTAAATGTGGTTTTTACAGAATTATAATAATTTTTTAACGAAAATTAATTTTAGATTGAGTTTTCTAGTCAAATTTAACGTATAAAAAATATAGGTACTTCTGGAGTTAGCCATATTAAGACAATTTTTAATCTTTCTCTTATGTTACCTACCTATATTGCGATCATAACATATTAAATGTACGTAAAAATAGTGAATAATTTACTTCCCAAAACTTATAATAGAATTCATACAAGGAACTCAAAATGTACAAAATCATTTCCTTTCGTTAACTGAACCTATTATGCCTTTGTAATGACGTTAGCACCATCCAACCTTGGTTATTAACATGGCCGCATTTAGAGGTCTGGAGGCCTTGGGCAACAAAGGAGTAGAGGCCTTCTGGCCACAAATTATTTTTCATATAAAATGAACAATATTTTATAGTATATAGTCTTTCAATCAATAATTTATTGGGAAACCAAGTAGATTCTTTTAGTATTTAACAATCATATAAAAAATTAAATACAGATCAATGATTTCTGTTAATATTTAAGAACAATATCATCATGTTTGTACAAAGGTAAAACAGCGAAAAAAATATTGAAGAAATGTTCTTTAATAGTCGGAATTTAAAAATTTATTTTTCCAAAGTATATTTTGGGGGCCCCGGGGCTGCTGCCCCGGTTGCCCTTCAATAAATCCGGCGCTGGATAAACACACGAGTGTAACGCTTAAAACGATGTTTTATTTTAAGCGTTACATTTCTTGAATTAGTAAAAAGAAATTTAGTCCCGTTTTTTATTTTCTGTACGAGAGTGGTTTATTAGTTATTTGAACCATAAATTATGTTTAAACATTATAGATGTAAAATGTTTTATGTGACAATTTTTGTCTCTGTTAATTATAATTTAAATAAATATAATAAATGGGAGGATATTTTCAATTGTCCGCCAAAATTTATTATTAATTACGTATATAATGATTAGTTTTCTAACATCCTTTTGATGGAATAAAGCTTATTTGGACCAAGATCTGTATGACGACCTAAAATTGTTGCATGTTTAATAGTCATAGTGTCAAACTTTTAATTACATATATGATAATAAAATCTTATGATAAATTTAATATAGCAACACAGTTACATTTTATCAACTAGTTAACTAATTTAATTAAGAATAATATGGTAACGAATGATATTTAACTTTGAACTTGATTTTGAGTACAGCTATTGCGAAATATTTAACTTTAAATTTATTGTTCTTAGATATCGTCATAAAACAAAAAATTACACTATTTTTTCTCACGTTAACACCGTTTCCTTATTGATTCCTTTGTTGATATATTGATAAATTATTCCCATCGCGTTCAGACGCTTAATATAATGACGAGTGCAATAGACCTATTGTTTTCAATTTGTGTCCTTGAAATTTATTTACGAGGCGCCTTAAAATATGCAATTTATTCATGCATTAAGTATTTTTGCTCACCGACTGTTGCCTACTTGCCAGATAGAATTATTGGCACGAATAGTTTGAGGACCAACTTGTTATAAAAAACTTGAACTTCTTGACCCAGGAAAATTAAATTACCGTTTTTAAGTGGTATTTTTGTGTTCAGTTAAATGACTTCTTCATCTTCCTGCATTTTATATAGTTTCTAATGACGAATGATATTGTTAAATATTTGTTAGGTATATTTAAGGGATCAGATTTGGTTCATTATTCTTAACCTAAGACATACAAAAAAATGTGTGCGTGTAGACCACACACGTAAGAAATGAAACTTCTTCATGACCTTATTTTTCGAAAAATGATCTACTATGTGCAACTTTACAGAAATTGGTAATAAAGTTAAATTAGATAAAGTTTGACAAAAGGCTTTTATTATCATAGACATGAATACAAATACAATTATTTAATTTTACCTTATTACTACTAAGATTATTACAGAATTTCATTAATTGTAATAGAATTATTACTATCATTGTTATCGTTATTATATATTTTTGTTATTAATGGCTTCGAATCTCTTCGGATCAACCGTGGTAGGGACAAGAAAAAGATGGCGCGTAACCGAAAAATGTGAGGGTAATTTTTTTTCCAACGCCGATAAAGGAGTTTATCTTCAAAAAGCAACATGGCGCGTAACCGAAAAATGTGACGATTTGCTACAAAATTTCTGCCATACGTCGATAAAGAAGTTTCACTTCAAAAACATTTTGTTTAATCAAATCATTCAGTCTTAGATTATAAAAGAACTACATATTCTTTTATTCGCAAAATTCTAATGTATATTACATTTAACATAACAGGTTACAACCCCGGAAATGGAGGATACAACACTGGCTATAACGGTTACAACACCGGTTATAACGGTTACGGCTACAATGGATACAACAATGGATATAACACAGGTTATAATGGATACCCAGGTTACAACACTGGAATTACCGGAGGTAGGTTTATTTGATTTAACACTAACATTATAAAACCTATTGGCATAGTCTGTAAGGATAATGTATGTATTTCTGTAATAAATAAATAATAAAAAAAATAAAAAAAAAAACACAAAGGAACTTTAATATATTTCCATGCTATTGAAGTTAATTACAACGGGTTGTTTAATAATTGGTAGAATAAATAAGAGATTCATATACAAGGCACAGTATAACTAAGAACCTATATTAGCGTGAAATGTTCTAAGATATGGTTAAGGCCCTTAATAGGGAGGGAAATGTTTCCGTGCCTGATCACGATTTAGTTGTGGATCAGCTTTCTAGGCCAATCTGAAAATATTATTTCGCTATGTAAGACACGAAGTTAAATGTCAGGTGCATTAATCACAGAATTAAGGATATAACTAGTAGATACCAATCTAGTGTTGTGACGCGATACTAACCAATCCTTGACAACAGCGCACGTGCCAGCAGGTACTTTAAAGTGTCTATAGGTGGAAAATTCGTATAAATGTTGGGGAAACCTTATAATAGCAGGAAGTTTCAATCATACATAATAACAATAGTATAACAACATAATAGTGATTATTATAGGGACAATCGTAATTTACGAGACGTGTAAGCAAATATTCTTATGATAATTACGAAAAATCAAAATGACAAAGGAACTCGGATACTGGTCATCTTACGATAATATATCGCTCCAATAAAAGTTTATAGAAACGATTATGACGTTATTGTACCAATTATGGGACGAAACAAAACCTGGGCTCATTTTATCATTAGGAATGATACTGTTATAAGATGTGTTCGGCGGATGACGGATTTATCTTCCGTTTTTTTTCTCGCGAGTTCATTCGAACGTGCCAATTCGTGGGAAAACACATATTCAGATTAAATGTATTATGTGACTCAAGAATGAATAAAACATAAATAGGAATCAATTTAATATATGCAGTTCTATCTTCGCGGACATACAATGATACATAATGTATTTTAAAGGCGAATATGAAGTATATACGGGCATTGGTGAAATTATGTATTTTTGTATATAAATTCCAGTAGCTATATATATTAAAAAAGCGGTACAAAAATGAATGAATTATCAATAGATAATTCATTGATATACACATATATGTAACATAGTTAACTTTCGGTTTTTGATTTCGTGTTATGGTACACGTCTGCGTTTCACCCGTTCTATGAACACGACTGAACACATCGTACGATTCGGTTTTATTAAGTTATAATAATCCAGTGGCACTGGATATAATAAATATAATAGTAATACACCCCATGAGGGGTCGCAGATTACATCCATTTCTTTGATAATTTTATAAGTATTGAGACATGCCGGTGACTTAGACTTAGTAAGAAAATTCCTTTGGTGCAACGCCGTGATTTGAATACACGACTGATCCGTTATCAAGTTTTATATAATTACTAGTGGACCCCACAGACGTTGTCCAGCATGATATTTAAAGCGATTAGGATATTAAGCAAAGTATGAAAGTACCGACTGCAGTGCCATCTGCCGGGCTGATTTGTGAATCTAAACCATTCCCAGATCCCCTTGAACACACACAAAAAATTTCATCAAAATCGGTCCAGTCGTTTGAGAGAAGTTCAGTGACATACACACTCACAGAAGAATTATATATATAAAGACTAGCAGACCGGCCAAGCGTTGCTGTGGCTTAGGTTTTTGTTATATTACATAGTAGTGAACTATTCAAGGGAAACGGTAGGAGAACAACGTGATACGTAATTTATATATATTAAGATTATTTTTCACAGGATACCGGCCAAGCCGACCTGGATACGAATACAACAGACCCGGGTACCAAAGCGGCGTAGGATACCAGAACTTCAATCAGGCCGGGTACCAAGCCGCATATAAAACTGGGTATGACAGACTCTATGCAACAAATAGTGGCAATTACTTCGGCGGATACGCAGATGGTTATGACAATGTAAGACTGAGTAGAAAAGCCGAAGAAAAGAAAGAAAATTCAGCTTAGGTTTAAGTAAACTTCATGTAAATATATATTTTATTAGTAATTGCATTTTGAATTCTACACTCACATAAAATAATTGGAGGTAAATAAAAGACAAAAAATATTTAATATATAATTGACAGATTTCATTATTTATTGATAAAAGGATTCATTACCTACACCTTTGCTTTAAATACATTTATTGGCATCGAATACATTTCTGCGACCCTGGTACATTTAAAAAGAAATGTGGAATTTCGCCTCAGCCGCTGAACCAGTCAGAAGTCATGGAATTGAAGAAGGACGCAGCACCAGATCGCGCGTTCGCAAAATTAATTGGTAACGAGCTGGTCATCAAGTCGGACAGCTCCGAGCGAGATTTATTCGGGCTAGCCGACTGTAGTTTCTTTTTCGACTGTGAAACGAAAATATTTGTTCGTACACTAAAATGTAGTTGAATATCAATTTCATTTATGCGGAGATATTTTCGGACACACCATGCAAAATTATTAAGAACAACACAAGCATAAAACTAACGAGTATTTTAGAGGCACGAAAAGTACGTAAAATCGATGGATTTTTATATAGAAAAGCGCTCACGTTGAGCAAGCACACGAATTTGTTTCGAATTCGAATATTTCTGCTTTAGAAATCGCTGAACGCGACTTCATCTGTGCAAGAGTACTTCAAAATGCCTATTTTATTTTGATCTCTCTTATTTATAATTCACTTACCCATAAAGATAAATATAATTTCGTAACTATTTAAAAGAATCATTTCTACTATTATATTCGTGAAATTATCTTTATAAATAGCATGCATCTGTTATTATAAGTATCACAATACAGTGAGGAAATGCTGTCAGTATTAAAGGTACCACATTGACTAAACTTTTTAAATTTGTTTTAATTTATATTTATAATTTTTTTATTAATTATTATTATTATTACTATGTATGTATGAGCTACATGATTGTCATTTAAATCCATTCAGTAGCTTTTACTTGATATCCATCCACCGCGATAATTTTATTTTCCGTTCTAAAGCCTCAAAAAAAAGACTATTGTGGTCCAGAGACATTTAAATAATATCTTAAATAATAATGACAGTTAATCACACACTCATCATACCAAAATTAATCAGGAGTGACGTAATCCTGTTTATAGAAAGAAAAATATTAATTCGCACTTAAGAGAAGAAACAGAAATATAGAGAATTAATTTTCTATAGTGAAAAATCGTTATCATGGATTAAAAATAGACAAAGATTTAAAAATAGAGTTTATCAGTTACCATTGTAACAAAGATTTAAAAAAGGAGTTTATCAGTTACCATGGCAACAAAGATTAAAAAAATGGAGTATATCAGTTACCATGGCAACACAGATTTAAAAAAAGAAGTTTATCAGTTACCATGGCAACAAAGATTTAAAAATGGAGTTTATCAGTTACCATGTCAACAAAGATTTCAAAAAAGAAGTTTATCTGTTACCATGGTAACAAAGATACAAAAAAGGATTTTATCAGTTTGAACTGTATTCCAAAATTTGTAGTTTAATGTTTCTCAATCTCCAGAAGACCTCCTCTCTTGCGTTCAAATACTGGAGCAAGAAAAGATTTTGATATATGTATTGAGCTTTTGACACTTATGCCAAGACTCAGATATATTTTTTTTAAGATCGGGCCTAAAGGCCCGAAAAGTTAAAACTTTTTCTTAATTCTGTATATATACAACTTAATTATTAATACAAATATGTATTAACTAACCGGTTTGTCCTGTTTCTTGTTAGGCGTGGCTGGCGTGGCCACGGGTAGTATTGAGAACCAATGTGTGTCAATGGAGGCAAGTATGTTCGGAGCCTTATCACCCGTACCACCAGATGATACAGGTTTAGTACCGATAATTCCTGTCAGCTGACCGTGGTGAAGGATCAGACTGCCGAGTAGGGTCTGCAGACGTTAATAAGTAGTCAGCAACAAATTTATTTAAAAATCTAATAATTAAAAAATAAAGTAAAAACATTTTGTGGCAATATGTTAGTCTTTTATTTACATTAGGCATATTAATGGCAATTTTCACCGAATTAAAACACGTTCATTGATTTACAATAACGCAGAATTAAGTAACCGTTTAACTGGCGTTTAAAACAAGTGGTAACGTTGAGTTATTTTAATATAACTTTTGGAAATTAAATCTTTTTAGCGAAAAAACACATATACTTTGCTTGTGTTATTTTTAGATTATTATATAGTTAACCTACCTGCACCCTCTGCACGGACCGCTTCAAGTTCATTTGTATGTATGGATAGAAGACATCATAATCAAACGGATCGATTTTCTGTCTCAAAAATTCACAAATCTCCTGCGAAAGCTCCATATATTTCTTATTCTCCCGAGGAACCAATAGTAAGGTCAAATGCCGCACATCCATCAACAGTTGAAGGGCACACCTCTGATTTATATCCGTCTCTTTCTCTCTTATAACCGCATTGTAGTGCGCGAAAGAGATGGACGTAATACTGTCTATGAAGGACGTGTGAATTTCCACGGGAAGCGTGTGAGGTATGACGTCATCTAGGAGTCTGCTTATCGAGTATAAATATTCTTGAAGCTTTAGAGAAGGCCCGGCTGGTACTTTTATTGTAGATTCTATGGATGTACCCTCATCATCTTTTTCTTCTATTTTTATTACGTCCCATTGCTGAAAATTAGTGTTGCCATATAAAAAATATTAACTGGATTTTTTAGGTTTAATATCTAGTAGAAATCGTTATTTTTATCGGGATGAATTTACGCTTAACTATTATAGGGTTATTCATATTAAATAGTCTATCGTACTTGATTTCAACCGATTATTTAAGTATTATAATTTAATTAAATTGAAGATTAATAATAATAATAATAATAATCTTTATTGACATATTTGTAATTACAGAAATCCTATGAAGACTCTGACACCTAAACTAGGCTTTTAGTGCCTGTATCTCAGGAGTCAGTGGGTGGCTCTCCCAATATAATTCGTAACAAGTGTCAAGAGAGCTTATTCAAAATTTTACAAGACAATACTTTTATAGACATTTGTAAATTCCAGATATTACATCTAATTATCCTGTTACACATAATATACTTAAACAAAAATAACATATATTGAAAAAAAAAAAAAAATGTTTCAGTATAAATTACAATGAATATAATAGGTAATAAAATAGGTACATACACATAAAATACTAAAATACATAAATATACATAATACATAAATATACATAATTATACATTTTACATATGGGTATATGTAACACTAGTATAAATATATAAATTATACACATAATTAATGAATCAAAATAACTAAAACATTATTGTAGCATGTTAGTTAAATAGATCTTCTGTTTCCTCATAATTTAAGGACAAAAGCCAAGTCTTAACAATTGATTTGCAGTCATGTAGTGAAAGAGGGTAGAAATTTAATTTTTTGTTTATTTTATTATATAGAAAGACTGAGAGATATGCTCGTTGTCGCCTTGCGAAGGTAGTACGGAATTTTGCTGTGGGGAGTACATTTGGTATACAGCGTTTGTTACTGCAAACCTCTGGGTTATAAGGGGTATGGACATGTTGTTTGGCTATTATATTAAAGACGAATAACTGTCTAACACTGAGGAGCTCACACTGTTTATATAAAAGTGTGGTTGAAAATCTGAAGGGTTTGAAAGTCATTACTTTTAGTAAAGATCTGTGGGCTCTTTCAAGCTGAATTAGATGTGACTTGCACGCTCCACCCCACACGCTCACGCAGTATCCAATAACCGATTTTACTAAGGCAAAGTAAACAGAACGGAGTAGTTCAAATTCCGCGGCATAACGTAATTTTTTGAATGTCCAGATTAGTTTTCGCGTGCGTGCCGTTATAATCTCAATGTGAGGTAGCCAACTCAATTTATTATCTAATTCGATACCGAGGTATTTTATGGTATTGGATTTTGTTATATTAATGCAAGTACAATTTCGCTCAGAGACACATATGTGTATTTTAAGATTAATATCAGTCATATGGGAATTAATAGTTTGGAACTGAATATACGAAGTTTTAGAAATATTTAAAGTAAGTAAATTTTCCCTGAGCCATCTAGCCACCTTCTGCAGTCCGCTTTCGGCAATATTTTGTATCTCGGTCCAGGTGTCCCCATAAAAAACTATAGCCGTATCATCGGCATAGGTAAACAACCTACAACTAGTTAGGGACAAATTACATAGGTCGTTTATGTAAATAAGAAAAAGACTTGGACCAAGAATACTGCCCTGCGGAACTCCAAAAGTTACATTTGCGTCGGAACTAATATAATTATTAATCTTAACCCTTTGCACCCGACCACTAAGGAAATCTTTAAAAATAAGCAGGGCTGAGTCTCTTATTCCAATTCGCTCCAATTTGTCCACAAGTATAGGAATTGAGACGGTATCAAATGCCTTGGCAAGATCGAGGAAGACACCAAGGCACTTTTTTTCCTGTCAAGTTTTTCTGTGACAAACTCAACCAAGCTACCCACAGCGTCTTCTGTTGACATACCCATTCTGAAACCAAATTGTGAGCTGGACAGAATATTGTACCGATTTAAAAACTGTATTAACCTCACGTTAAGCATCTTTTCTAGGATTTTTGATAGTGCTGTAAGCACAGAAATCGGTCTGTAGTTTGCAACACAATCCCGTGCCCCACCCTTGTGAACAGGAGTAATGAGAGACCTTTTAAAGACTTTTGGAAAGCAGCCTTCCCTCACACATGTTTGAAACAAGATAGTAAGCGGCGATACAATGACATGTCTTACCATTTTTAGAAATCGAGCTGGTATAGAGTCCCAACCAGTGGCACAATCATTTTTTGCGCTTAAGATGAGAGATTCCACCTCAGCCTCATCTGGTGGCATTAGTACGAAGGAGTTAGTCAAGCAATTAGATCTTGTACATTTGTAGTTATACTTACACCCTGTAAGTTTTTCAGCTAGCTCTCTACCAACATTAGAAAAATAACTATTTATGTCCTCAACCGCATCCAATGCGTTACAATTCCTAATTAACTCATCGGCAGAAGATTTTTTACTTGAACTATCGGTGACATATTTTATTGCAGCCCAGGTTTCTTTATTTGATTTTGCACTTTTTAATAAGAATTTATCGTGTTCGCGCTTCAATTTTCTAAGTAATGAGCAACAAAAATTCCTGTACCTTTATAGGTTATTTTAAGAATTTCATTTTGGGGGTCCCTTTTAAATTAAGATGCAGTTTATCCCGGTGACGGATACAGCGAAGTAGGCCCGGAGTCATCCAGGGCTTAAGAGATTTTTTTGCGCCTGGGTACACGGACTTTTTCAGTGTTAGCTTTAATAGCAGATGACAGAATTTCAACAAATCGAGTCGCAGCAGACTCGGCGTCTTGCTTGTTAGTCATAAAAAGTAAAATCAGCCAATTCAACATATTTTATAGCTTCACTAAAATTTACTCTTTCAACAATAGAAGGGCACTGAGTATTAGTCCGTTTACTGTTAAGGGATAGATTTATTAGAATAGAGTCGTGATCAGTTACGGTGGAATTTATCACTATAACACTAGTTTGTAAAACAGTTTTAACCATTACATGATCGAGACAATTGCTTAATCGTGTTGGATATGTGTGGCCTGGCAGAAAACCCAATTCGCTGGTTAAATTTAAGTAAGAGTTACTGTTTCTGTCACCGTTTCCAGGTTTTATATCGATATTTATATCACCTATTAAAAATATATTCTTAGATGATATAGATTTAACAATATCATTCAAAGCATTCAAAAAGCGCTCAGTGTAGTAAAAGGATGGTGATCTATAAATAGCTAAAAGTACAATATCTGGTACTATTTTAGCTAGCAGAAAGTTAGCATCTTTAGGATTAGGTTCTTCAATTTCGCAATTTATATTTTGTTTAGCATAAATTATAATACCGTCATTTTGATTTAAGCATTTTTTTTGTGAAATAAGAATTATAATCCTTGAGACTGGGTATGGGTTTATTGTCGTTTAACCAGCATTCAGTTAAAATTATTATATCTGGATCAAAGTACAGACGAGCTATATGGGCCAAGAATGCATCAATATTTTTGTAAACGCTACGGATATTTTGTGTTATAATTTTTAGGGAGTTTCCTGATTTTTTTACTAAATCATTACAATTTTTTTATATCACAACTGTAGGCAGTTGCCACTGTTATATTATCAATATCATTATTTATATTATCAATAAATCTAGCCATTTGTAAAATATTAAGCTTTTTGTCGCAGCTACTCGTGTCTGAGAAATGCTAACATTTTTACAAAGATAAGATCTCGATTTCAACATGATCACTAGACTAAGAATGTATAATTTTTTAGTTATGTAAAATACAATACAATGAACAGAGTATAAGTATGTATATAAAGAAAAACAATAATATAATATATAAAAAAATAAAATAATATCTATAAAAACAATAATTAAGTGCCGGATTTTCACAAACAGGAAAGTTATCGTAGGCCGGCGGAGTTTCCTGGGGGCCTCAAAAAGTCATTGTTTTAGACGAAGTTTATTTAAATCACCCTCACTATCAATTCTAATATGCCGTTTACCTTCATCTTGTCTCAGGTAGGTTCTTCCAAATGAGGTCCAGCAGAATTTATATCCATTTTCCTGAGCAAATGCACGAGCCAGATAATTTAATCGTTTTCCGCAGGGTGATAGACATTCTGAAATAAAAAATGGCTTTGCTGGTCCTTCCAAACTTAAGTGTGCCGTGTTCAATCTGTTAGCAGAATTCATTTTGTTAAATTTGCGTGCCTTTTCAATAATACCATCTTTCAATATAACGCTGCCCAATTCCACAATAATTGCTCCATGTCCAGTTTTACTTTTTGTACGATAAATATCCTTAATATCCTGTTTCTGTATGGGAAAATCAATAACATCTGCAGCTTTTGAAGCAATGTTACATAAACTATCCTTATTTTCACCGGTAATCTTAGGAATATTTCTTAGTTCAAGTTTAGTTGAGGCAGACGTTCGTTCCAGCGACTCGATTTTCTTTTCAAGCTGATCAATATACAGACGATCTTCATTCCTCTGTTTTTCCAATTTCTCGTATTTAGCTTTCATATCTTCGTACTGCTTAGAGACAAAAGCAATGGAGTCTTTTATTTCTGTATTTTGTGTCAAGATTTCTCTCATGGAGGATTGCAAGGAGGTGAATTTACTTTCATTTTGAGAGTTTGCTTTAGCAAGCATATCCTTAATTTCGGTTATGAATTTTTTAATATAGGACTCATCCTGCTTGCGCCTCATAGTTACATTGCTTCGCTCCTCATTAGATAAATCTGGCGCGGAGCCCGAAAAGAAGCTTTCGGCGCGTTCAACCTAGCTTCCTTTAAGTCTTCGGGAGTGGGGGTGCTGGGAGGTGTGCGCTTAAGAGGCATAATTTAATTAAATTGAAGATTAATAATTACGTCACAAATAAAAATGAAAAAAATCACGAACTCAATTTTGTTGTTGCTATTAGTCCCTTCATTATCAAAAGAAACTTCAATCAGTAGCACTACAACTCCAGCTCTAGGCATGATGTCATTCTATTCCACATTTTTTAATAGGCGAGTATGTGACATTATTTGCCTGGCAGATGCATCGATTTCTGTCTTTAAGGCATCGTTAAAAAGGCCGGCAACGCACGCGCGAGCCCTCTGGCAATGAGAGTGTCCATGGGCGGCGGTTACTTATCATCAGGTTAGCCTCCTGCTGCAAACCCTGTTCTAAAAAAAGGTATACAAGTGTTAATTGTCAACTTTTTTTTGTTGAAGAACCAATTATATTTGAAGTGGGGAGTGTAGGGGTCCGTGAGAAGAAATACCCACTAAAACCCAACAGCCCCATCTTCTATGAAGACGTAGGGTAACAGATATTTCTCTAATTTTGGGAGGAGACAAAAACACCTTACCATCATCAGATAATCGATATTCTCCTGCATAGTAAAACCTTGAGGGAGACCATTGGTTAAATCCTTCACTTTTTCCATTACTATATCCAACCATTTTCCCCAACAGTGCAAACAATTTTCCTTCAAAACATCACCCAATCTGGCCCAACGTTTGCTAAGTGTCTCGTCCACTATCAAACTGTTCTCGGGAATATAGCACCTTCGTACGTTGGGAATAAGTATGGGAATCGCTTGTATAAATCGTGCTGTGTATATTGCAGTTGTTTTTCTTTGTAATTCAGTGGATTGAAGTGTTGGCTCTTCAAAACATGCTTTGATGTATGCTAGAATACTAAAAAAAATATTTTTTTATATCTTCCCGACGGGGTAGGGCAGAGACTACTTCCTTTGCTACGCTCCTGACACACATCTTCACCCACTTTTTTTTATATAATAGGGGGACAATCGAGCTTGCGGGACGTCGAAAAAGGGCAGTCATTGCAGCCCATAGACACCTATTTTTAGTGGGTGCGTTGTCGGATTTTGAGGGAGGAAAAATGCCTTGAAAACTTTCATGACATTCACCATGCATTCCCATCGGTTATGGAAACTTTTGACTTGTCCCTTCTCTAGTCCTGGATTTGGTCTGGAATCGACTTCCGGTGGTCTACCCTGAGAGATACAACACTCCAAAGTTAGAGTGTACTCCTCCCATAAAGGCCGGCAACGCACACCCTAAAAATGGATGCCCATGGGCTGCGATCACTGCCCTTTTTGGGCGTAGTTTGCTCCTCTATTATATAAAAAATATATATATCATCTGTTCTACATAAGCATAAAAGAAGCACACTATCACACTTTAAGTATTTCTTTATATTGTTCTCAAGAAAGTCATATTCAAAAATTAACCTACATTTCCTAAATCAAGGTCATAGCGACAAGAACTGGCAAGAAACTCATTTGAAGATTTGTACAAGGAAATTGTAAGGAACTGCACTCATTACGTCATGCTTTACTTGACATATAGAAACACATTCCTCATACAAGGGTTTCAGGTTTCATATTTTTTTCTTCGATAAGCCCGAGGATACATATAGGTATATTTCCGGTACTGTATCTTGGTTGTAAACAACCAAAAATTACTTAAGTAAGTTGTCAAGTGACAAATGACAGATTACGTGACATAGTCACTAAGTTGTCATTTTTAAAATGTTTAAATGAATAATTTTAAATCGATGTATTCTACATTTGTCTTTACTCTCTGTCCTTTCCTTTTTTGTAAGAAAATTAATTCGTTGCATCGTATAACATTTAAATAATAATAAATAATTTGAAAAACCTCACCTTTCAACATACTTATCAGCCGCATCACACAAATACAATTCAATATCACTTGTGTCTGTATACATCTGTTCCCATCTCTCTTCCTCATCATATAATGATATCGGTCTATCTATTTTCCTCTCCAAATACAAGTAATCTTTTAAGTCGTCTAACAGTTTCTGCAATTCATCTTCAAGGCCTTTGCATAACTTCTCCATATTTGGTGTAAAGCCACGGTCTTGGCGGGACATTCCTGTAATTTTCGATAAAATACCATTAAACAGTATTAGTTTTTTTTAAACATTTTCTTTTTTACAAGAGAAAAAACTCTTTTTCCCTAAATTTACTGTATTCTAGAACGTCAAACTTCTAGTTAGAACTGTCAAACGAAGGTTGACGGTTGACATATTTGACAGTACTACAAGACGCTGTATTGTCAATGTCGAGGAATATGGCCCAAGCTCTAATTACTACATACGTCAAACTTCCTAAACTTGACAGCTGAAACTTGACCAAAGTCAGTAAGTACCCTCAAAAAACCTTTGAAATTTGCGTTTACCTTTCATAAGTGAATTCATAACCGAAACCACTTCGCTCCTAGATTCAATGATGGTGTCTCCAATGAGGTCCTTCCATATGAACCAGTTTATATTTGACTCCTTTTCTATTTCGCTCTCTGATGATACCTAAAAATATAAATTTTATATTTGTACCACTAATAATATCCTAGTATACTGTTACTTTTTGTAAATATAAATTTCATAACCAACTTAAAAAGTAAAGGAGGAGGTATTGTATTCGACAAGTAATTGATTTGTATATTACATGTTGTTTTGTATGTTAATTTCTCTGTCTTATCTCTTAGTGCTCGACCATTTTTATAGGGGTACTCGACAACATTAAACAAATTACTCGGGTATCTAATAAGTTAGCTTGTAGGGCAATAAAATTTGCATTTATTTTTAATATTCCTGAAAACAGTTGTTTCACCAGGAATTTCACCCATTACTTGGTATTTTTCTACCAAAAGTTCCCTTTGTTTTAATAAAATATTTGGTATCAATGCTCTACCAAAATATTAAAAATGATAATACATTGCTCAACAAAATATTACCTTATGAAGGTAGGTAATGTTTTGTTAATTTTTTTAAGGAGGGTACAATACAGGTGAAGGAAATATAAGTAAACTACCCTCAAGTGTAAAAAAAATTAAATAGATAAAAACTTATGAACTAGTATATATGTATTTTGAATTAATTATATTTTAAAATCTATTTCTAATATCAAAATATTTAATAGGGAAAATTTGTCAGTGTCAAAAATATCTATACATTTTATTTATCTTTACAGTAAATAACACGTAAATACCTTAGTTAAATCAATAAGCAATTGCGTCTTAAATGCGTCATATATCTTCTGCCAACGTGCGTCAACAATCAACTTGACTCTCGCAGTAAGAAGAGGCTGGAAATGGCTCACCCAAATATGAACGGTTGGTATCTTTAACTTTTCACAAATCATATTCCAGTTTTGAGGTGTTTCTAGAAATATATAAACGATTAATTTTTTTTAAATTATGTTATGTTGAATTATTCTGTGCTAAAATAACATGTGCAATAATAAATAACAAATAGATATTGTAAAATATTGTTGATGGTTTCTATTCATATTTCTATCCTGTTCTTTCTTATTTGTATTTATAAACTTTCTAACGAATCGTCGCCCTAATAGAGTCTAACATATTTCCTAGCCCAAAGCCTTTAATTTAATCATAGCTTGATTTTTAATTGAATAATGTGTTTTTCGTTAATATATTTTTGATTCCGTCAATAATGTCACTCAAGTTCCAGTATGGTCAATGCAAACGGCTATATAAATGATGCTATCGTTGCAGTATAGTATATTAAAAACGTATATGTTAAAACTACATAAAATTTTGTTTTAAGCAATTACTATGACTATCCACTATTGAATAGTCATTAATTTACAGACTGCTGCACGACTGATTTGAGCGCGATCGCCGCTGCGAAAACCGCTGTGTGAGTTCGAAAAGTGAGTTACAGAATCGCAAGGCAGATCTAGCAATATTGGCATCTAGCAAGATAATCAAATAATCTATTATTAACAAGTTTTAACCGATATGAATTTGACGTTATTAAATAAGCTCTCTGACATAATGACAATAGCAACTGACAGCAACGCCAATGTTATAATGAAAATGATGGGACGGAAATAACGTAAGATTATTACGTACTTTTAATGCAAATGTACATAAATCTTTGTAAAGAGGAAATATTTCTATTGTTAAATACATTGAAAAACACCAGGGCCCTTGCTTTCTCTGTATAGTCAAATATATATATTAGGTCCTTACATATGAAATTGGCGTATTTCGTACTGGCCACTTTAATCACGATGTTCTCCTCTTTGGTAAGGAATTCCAAATTCAAATTTGTACAGCTATTTACTCATGTATTTGTGCTTCGATGACCGTCATTCATTCGTTTTTTTCTTCTGTTTTTTTCAGTTTGCGTCACTCATTTTACAAAATGGAAAACTTAAAGTATCGCATTATTTACGAGTACGAGTTCCGCCGTGGCACTAGTGCTGCGGAAACGACTCGAAGGGTGAATGATGTGTATAGCGGTCATGTTGCAAAAGAAAACACAGTTCGTTTTTGGTTCCAACGTTTTCGTTCTGGAAATTTCGAGCTGCAGAACAAGCCCCGTGGACGGCCTGAGACCCAAGTTTATAATGAGTATTGAAGGCTATTGTGGAAGCGGATCCATCGCAAACCACGTCCGAGTTAGCTGCAGGCTGCGGTGTTAGTGATAAAACTGTTTTAATTCACTTGAAGCAAATTGGGAAGATTAAAAAGCTTGAAAGATGGGTACCTCACGAATTGACTGAAGCAAACCGGCAAACGCGCGTCGACTGCTGCGTTACATTACTGAACCGGCACAATAATGAAGGTATTTTAAACCGAATCATTACCTGTGATGAAAAATGAATTCTTTACGATAATCGGAAGCGCTCAGCGCAATGGTTGGATCCTGGCCAGCCAGCCAAATCCTGCCCCAAGCGAAAATTAACCCCAAAAAAGTTACTTGTAAGCGTTTGGTGGACTAGTGCCGGTATTGTTCATTGCAGTTTTCTCAAATCTGGCCAGACTATTACGGCTGATGTCTATTGTCAGCAATTGCAAACCATGATGGAAAAGCTAGCGGCTAAACAACCTAGGCTGGTCAATCGCTCCACGCCACTGCTACTTCACGACAACGCTAGACCACACACTGCACAACAGACGGCTACCAAATTAGAAGAGCTTCAATTGGAATGTCTAAGACATCCTCCGTACTCCCCGGACCTTGCTCCAACAGATTACCATTTTTTTCGAAATTTGGACAACTTCTTGCAAGGGAAAAAATTTAACTCTGATGGGGCAGTCCAAATCGCCTTCACAGATTTTATTGATTCCCGTCCGACTGGTTTGTTTAGTAAAGGGATCAATGGACTACCTATGACATGGCTAAAGTGCATAGAAAACAATGGTTCATACTTTGATTAATTAAATATATTATATTTAAAAATATTCGACTTTTTGTTAATCCCATACAAAACGCCAATTTCATATGTAAGGACCTAATATATACTAGCTGATCCGGCAAACGTCGTTTTGCCATGTTTATCATTTATAATAAAAAATAGGGGTTGATCGTAGAGGGGTGAAAATTAGATGTTGTATGTATTTTTTAAAGCAATTTAATTTAAAAAAAAATATTTGGGGTGGACTACCCTTAAAATTTAGGGGGATGAAAAATAGATGTTGTCCGTTTCTCAGTTATACCCAATATGCATACAAAATTTCATGAGAATCGGTCAAGCCGTTTCGGAGGAGTTTAACCACACAAACACCGCGACACGAGAGTTTTATATATTAGATATATCAATAAATAATATATCTATTGTCGGGATTAGTTTTGCTGTCGCTATTCGAAGTAGGACTCTGGAACGATAATTCTTTCACCATTAGAATCCTGAATAAAGAGCTAAATTTATTCCCAATATAAAAATATATGTGCAAAGCCAGGAGTAGTAATTATAAGACCCTCCAAAACCACTTACCAATTTTAAAAGCTTCCTCTCGAATCTCATGCAATACTTTGACACGTGTAATATTTTGTAAAAGTGTTGTCACATGTTCATTAATATAACTTTGTAACGAGGTACTCCATTTTTGTACGCTTTCGGTTATTTCGTCGCTCGTAAGTGCCTTTATCGATTTTACTGTTAACCTATAAAATTTTATTCATGTTTAGTTCATGTTCGCCAGTCTAGGAACCATCCAGTGTACTACAGTGTATCGCTTGAAATAAATAATATATTTTTATATACCCATTTTTTATTGAAGTAAGACACAGGTAGGATACCTCGACATTGACTACATCAGTCTTACATTGTTCTTACAACCTTACTTTTGTTAGGTATAAAGAGTCACTGGGTGGTCACGAAACGTTAAAACGTAATAGTAAACTATTGGGTACATAAAAACGTTACGGCGCGTTAATAAAGGGGGGGGTCAATAATTCAAAAGCATCGGTGGTCATGTAATATTCGCATCGTTCTAAGTTCTAATTATACTTAATTTTTTTATAATTATAGTTGGCACTGTTGGCTTAATCTCTCAGCCCAGAGGTGGGTCGTTCTCTGAGCGCATTTGACACTTGCTCATACAGTGAAGGCACACAGAGTGAGGATATGTTCTCCACAATCAATGTATGTAAGGTAACGCCTGAACTTATTTATAGAAAACGATCAAATAAACTGTATAATATAGGGTTGTAGCTCTATAGGATTATTTACAATTTTGTTCAAAATGATCTGTAAGTTTTAGTAAGCATTTCTAGCCCTTACACAATTGACTCACCTATAGTTAGATATCGCAGATGGCAACATTTTCAATCCATTGATATCACTGAATTGGACTAAATTTAATAAAGGCACAGAGTCGGCTCTGTACAATTCTTTCAACCTTTCTAAAACTACGCCTCCGTTGTTCTCTGTAATAATAAAAAAAACAACCATAAACTTACTATAAATTAAAATAAATTTAATGTTTAGGGCTTAATAAATAAAAAGATATACAAAATAAAAGTAAAATTAATTATGGCATATAGAAAAAGTATATTTATAAATGAAACTATATTCGTAGTATAAAAATACTATGTTTAACAAAGCTGTTTAGAAACAGCTAAGACTCTTGATGATGTGTGATCAAATCATGGTTGTGTAGAAATCGACTTTAACAGTCATTTATATTGTGAAAACATTATGGGGTCACCGGCCATAGAACACAAAATCAATTTGTGTGACACAGACAGCTGATCACCTTGTAAAGAAATATAACACAGACAGAGCACTGAGACCAAGACCAGAGTATTTTTATACTTACCAACAAAACAGGCATAAATTAGTTCCACAGTCTTCATAACAATCTTCACTCCGTCAACAATTTTCCTTTTTATTTGAGCTTTGACATCACCCTCTAATATCTTATGAAGATCAAATTGTAATGTTGTTTTGAGACTGTTATTACTATGTAAATTAATTAATGTATTTAATAAATCTACCATTGGATTTGAATCTAACAGGTAGAGACCGAGAAGACATGAGCAGGCAATCTGAAATTGTTTATTTGTGATTAATAAGACTTATTTTTTATCATATCAACTAATACTATAAAATCTCGCCTGATATTACTGCACAAACAGCCCAATCTATCATTATGAAATATGATATGTATAATTAGTCTCAGAATAGGTCATAAAATATATTTCAAAGGTTATAAGTATGTCCCAAATTAGATTAGAAATGCTTCCATATTAACCAATTCCAACACTATATACAAACAGGCTAAATCTCTTTCTTTTGAAGTCGGTTAAAAAGACAACAATCTTACACTGTCTATAAGTTATTTACAACATACACACCTCAACACTAATATCAACATCTTGCAATCTTTGCCCACACATATCTATAATGGTTTGACTCAGGTTGCCGATGGAATTCCACTGTTGGTGTGCAAGTCGCTGTAATGACTGCATTGTTGGACCATTGTTGCTGCCAATTTGAAGTTGTAAGCCTTGAACATATTTCAAAGTGTAAATTAGAACTACAATTAAATTATATAAAGCAAATTTTATGTATATGTTTTAATATAACAAATGAAACAACGACTCTCTCTCTTTCTATTTATTGCTTATAATTTTTTTTGACATAATAAATAAATAAGTACTTTTTATTTTAAATTCATTGAATAATTATGTAACTTTGTATAAACTACTTGTATACAAATCATAAAATATTTAATTCAAATCAAAAGTATACACTATACATATCATAAAATATTTAAGTCAAATATTTCTTATATGTTAAATTAAGTAATTAATTTTTCTTACCAGTATTAATATGTCGAGCCATAATAAATAGTTGAGCAGCTTGTACAAAATTATTATTATTAATGCATTTCCATATTTTTTCTGGTATTTCCATTAGTAATTTTATTTGTACAGATATCTGGTGGACTGGGTTAACATTCTCCTGAAAACTATTAAAAGTAAGTTTTAAAAAGTGCATACCATTATCAAAGTTGTAAATGTAAATGAAGAGATAATTTTTAACAATCTTAAATGAATAGAAGTTACCTACATTAATACAATATCTTGTTTTAAAAAATGGATCATTCTAAGTCAAAAAAAGTGCAAATTTTTAAACACATACACTATAACTAATTTATAAGCAATTATAATTAAAATTCATAAGCAATTCTTTTATTTAGTCATAGCTCAGTTATATGCATAGGCTCTTTTACAACTAACCTGTAAATAAAACATGTATAGCCATGGGATCTCTAAGTAGTTACTGTTGTAGTACTAAGCTACTCAAAGCAACTTATTAAAAAACTTACCTATAGCTAGGAGGTGGACATGCTTGAATTTTGAAACCAATCAAATGGGTATCATGTAGGTTTTTGCAAATACCCATCATATCATTTATATGAGTTATTGTATTAGCAGTGGTTAATCTCATGTCTTCTATAGTGTCTGCAGCATGTATTAAATCTCTATACCTCTCACTGTAAATTCATAAAAAATTAAGTAAAGAGAACTGGTTTAGTCCATTTATTAAATTTATCAGAAACTAAAAAAAGCTTTTATTTCTTATACATACCCCACCATAGCTCTAAGTTCTTCCCTCTTTCTTTCAACCTCATATTGGAGTTTCTTTTGCACTTGATCTATTTCAGCAATGAAGTGTGATTGAAACAATTGATCTGGAACCACTTCTAGCAAATTGTTATGAGCCATTTTTAACTACGACAAATTGTATAATTGTTTGCACTCTAGTCTAGTCAATGGTCCCTGACCAAACCATTCAGAGTTAACACGTAGTGTTTACGTCGGTTTTATTAGGTTTACTTTTATTACATATTATAATTGTACATACTCTTACGGATTTACATTTACCATATACATATAAACGTCATTATCAGACAGACACTAGACAGTGACATTTGAGTGGTCAGTGACAGCTGATTCATGACACTTTTAGCTATCAAATGTCGATCACACCCACAGATCAAGTAGAGACACTTACGTATAATTATTAATTTGACGGGAATTTTTTTTGGGGTTTTAAAATTTCACATCTAAAAAAAACAAAAACTGTAAATTTACTTATGAATGTACACTCCTTTTTATAACAATTTACTTAGAACCTGTAATTTTAATACAGCACATGACGGTTCTGTTCTGAGTTTTAATTTGTGAAATGTTACCTATAAAATGGCTCCAAAATCCAATTATCAGCAAAAGACAAAATCGAAAATAGAGATAAGTATATATATATATATATATATACATTTGATATGGTATTCCAACGTAGCTCACATTGATATTACCAAACATGATTTGGTAGGCAAATAAAAGTTATGTAGAACCAACAAATTATTGTCATAATCAACTAAAAGCAGATTACCCTTGTGTTTAAAGTACTGGAAGAGTATTTTGTAGATTATATATTCAGAAACCTCTGTTGTCTGAGTCCTACTTATTTATACAGGTTAACTTCACCTATTACTTGTTTCATATTATACATTTATAAGGTATGCTATCATGTAGGTAAATATTTCACTTTAAAGGTGTACCTATTTCTTTTAATTATAGATTATAAGTTCTGAATTACAAAGTAGAATAAACTAAAAACTACATCTTTTTTATTTCAATAGCAGCAAAATGTTCTATTATTTATTTTTGACGTTTGAACAGTTTATCTCTTTTTGTTGTTCACGGATTAAGATATAAAAGTGTAGACAGTTTATTGAGTTAAGCCGTAGTTTGTGATAATTATCACGGTAAAATGCATTATGATATATCTTTGTAATAACATGTTTTATATAAACTACTGTCTTATTAGTATGGAACGTTAGTGAAAAGGTAGGAAACGGATTCAGCATAGTGCGTTCGTCGTATTGCTTCAGCCAGCATCACGGAGATATCCACAGTTTGCAATTTCGGGCACAGTTTCATGTGTTTGTCTTGAGGAATGGTATTGGTAACAACCAAAGCCTCTAAGCAGGAGTTATTTATCTTATCAATAGCGTTCCCAGCGAGAACTCCGTGGGTTAGAATCGCGTATATTTTGTCAGCTCCAGCTTCGCGTAGCTTTTGAGCACCTTTAACAATAGTATCACATGTGTCTGCTAAATCATCAACCATGATAGCGGTTCTGTTGCTCACGTCACCAACTAAAACAGTCGAATCTTCGTTGTTGGATCGTTGCCTTTCCTTGTGAATTATCGCGAAATCGATATCCAACCTGTCGGCAATGGCGGTCATCCTTTTCACACCTCCTGCGTCAGGTGAAACCATAACACTGCTTTTCCATTCAGAAATATTGTCTTGTATCCATTTCGTTATCGCTGGTTCAGCGTAAAGATTATCGACGGGGATATTGAAGAAGCCTTGAATTTGAGACGAGTGAAGGTCGATTGTTATGACGTGATCAGCTCCAGATACGGATATGAGATTAGCTAGCAGCTTAGCAGTAATTGGGGCTCGGCTTTTTTCTTTTTTATCCTGTCGCGAGTAGGGGAAGCTTGGAATGACAGCGGTAACGCGGGAGGCGGACGATATTTTGCAAGCATTTATCATGATGAGCAGCTCCATTAGGTTGTCGTTGATATCCCCACATCCACTTTGCACAATGTAGACGTCTTCACCACGGACGGATTCATGGATTTCAACGCTTGTTTCTCGATTGGAGAATTGTTTAGTCGTGGCTCGGCCCAGGTCTAGCCCGAGTCTTGAGACTATTTTCTTTGCGATATCTGGATGAGAACTTCCCGTGAATACTTTGATATTTGGCATTCTTGGTTTCTTACTGAATTCTTTATCGTTTGTGTTTTCTGCGATGGAGTGGTTATCTCCAGTCGATTTCATGAGCGTGACTGATGTAAGTGGATACTACACTACACTGTTCTCCTAGAGCGATAGCAAAATGATTTGTTTTCATATTTGTACTGATTTATCAAAGTTCAAGCAGAGGTTAGGTCGGTTAGTATCTCAATCTTAATACAAGTACATTGTTTGTAACCAAATCACGCTCAAATAACTAAACAAACAGTGGGATTTCATCATAAGTCAATATTATAGTGATAATAATATGGCTAATGTAATGTATTACGGAATTAAAATATGACTATTATTATGATATTGAACTTGAATTTAGGTTACAGATATTTTTATGAGATTGCATTTATTTAAGATTTAATAAAAAAAACTATAAATATGTACAGTACAAGAATTCTTTATTTAATTATTAGTTTTATATAAATTCAATCTTAAATAATTATATACAGGAAAATTTGGTTCCTTGGCATCGACTGTATAACACCAGTTTTTTCGTTTACACGAAAATCACAATTCAACATAAGGAAATAATAATGCTTTTACTCTTTTATATTAACGGAATTAAATCAAATTCACTTCTATGACATCTTGTACCTCCAAGTCACAAAACATAACGTATTCTTCGAAGTGCCTATATGTGTCATAATTATTAAATTGCGACTCCAAGCCGAAAATTTTAATATCTCCGGCGTCTTCCATAATATCGTTATTTGGGAAATTACACATGGTTGAAAAATCATCACCTTGCGCGGTCACGTACAACTTCTCATGAGTAGCACGAAATTTAAGAGTGAGCTCCGGCAAAAAGTATACTTCCCCTGAGGCTGAGCAGCTGGTGGTATTGAGACATTGTAACGCAATGACAATAGAAAATAAGGAATTCTTTCTTGTGTTTTCAGCCGTTCCGTGTATTTCCTGAAATTAATCAATCAACTATTATATAAAAAATAAAATAAATAAATCAATGGCGCTACAACCTCTTTAGGTCTGGGCCTTAGATTTCTGAATCTGTTTCATGATCATTTTTTTCAATCTAATAGGCAAGTAGGTGATCAGCCTCATGTGCCTGACACACGCCGTCGACTTTTTGATCTAATACAAGTCGGTTTCCTCACGATGTTTTCCTTCACCGCTCGAGCGAATGTTAAATTCGCACATAGAAAGAAAGTCCATTGGTGCACAGCCGGGGATCTAACCAGCGACCTCAAGGATGAGAGTTGCACGCTGAAGCCACTAGGCCGACACTGCTCAGTAGTCTCAACTATTAGATATATTTTATTAAAAAAGACTACTGAGCTGAAAATAAATAGAATAAACGATGAAAAAATGAATTGTCGTCCTTACAAAATCTAAAAGCTTTATATTTGATTTATGTGTGATAAATCACTTATGTATAAAAATTAGATAAAAACTCTAGATTTCTTTAGATGTTACATAGACTTTTCTATTACTTAATCAATTGGAAAAATCATCTCGGTCCAATCTAAAGATTTCAGGTTCTTTATTAACATTCCTTTGTAAAAGAAATTTTATTTATCATATGTGGGTTTGTAGTCATATAGGCTCGCGGCGTATAATATATAATTTAACTAATGCTAAGTAAAAATAGGTGTAGGTGTAAGCTGCGGTGTAGGTGTACAACAAAATCATTATTGTTTTCTAGAAAAACGTATGCGACGATAATAATTAAATGTATTCAAAAATAATTAGTTATTGCGAACCTTTTATCATGATATCAATCATTATTCGAAAAAATATTTTTTTCACACAAGCGCTTTGAAATAAAATTGTCCTCGACATCGATTCACTAAATACCCTAGGATATATAGTTTTCTATTCTTTCTTAGTTTATCACTTGTGTTTGAAATGCAACTCTAATTAAATATATGAACACACAACGAAAGAATTTATGCCTTTTGACAGTTAGCAAATTGCCAATGCTTTAATAATGTATTTTTTCTGACTACTCACATTTTGCAGTGCTATAATCGATCCTCCGCGTATGAGAGTCAAAAAATCCGACTCCAAGGTTGGCACTGTCGCAATTTTTCCTTCTGTTACATTTACTCTTTCTCCTCCCCATATCTCATACCAAGTTCCCGGAGGCATGGTTACATGTACGTAACTTTGCATCACATGAAGATTCGGAACAATTAATAAGTCATCTCCTACAGAGAATTGTGAATTGGTTTTCTCAAAATAGTCAGCTTGTGGGTATTGGTAAAACATTGGTCGTAGTAGCGGGCCTTGTTGTAGGACAGTATAGAAGTATGGTATAAATGCGAGACGTCTATTCAACGCTGTTACCATATAATTTCTATAGTTTCCATTAAAGGCTGTAGGATCGCGGGCTGGCGTGTTCGCATCTATTCTAACTAGTGGAAAGTATGTAGAAGCCATGTACCATTTGGCACAAAGATCAGTCTGGTTTTCAGGGAAAAATTTGGTATCTCCACAAATTGGGGATGACCATAGCCAATGACCTGATATACCTCCTAGGGCTGCATGAATTAGTTCTCTATGGAGATTTAACCACAACGCGTCAATGTTCTGTCTATTTATCATCACATTTCCGTTCATCCAATGATTACTAACAGCGGGAACAATGCGATCTCCAGTCATATTCATAATTGCTTTGACAGACTCTTCTCCATATGTATTATGCTTGAAAAAATATTTCGTTTTGTCTATTAAAGTCATATTCCATGTAGGCGTATTAGTGAGAGCCGCTTTAAAATTCTGAAAAGATTTATTTAATTTGTAAATTATCTCTAACATTAAAATCAATCTGGTATCTTTCATCTCGGTTAATATAAAAACCCAAAATTTAAGGAATTGTAAATCGTATACTTTTTATAATGGTTTATTTATCTACAAATTTTGACTAAAGTACTCTTTTGTCTCTTTCTGTCAAATTGTGTTTCCGCAGTGTAGAAAAGAGACAGGTCTACTTTAGTGAAAATGGGGCATTTAGACTCATTTAGTTTATATAAATACTGAAAATTTAGCCTTAAAATAACTCGACAATATTTATAGTTTGTTTATTACAGGTTTATCTATGTGCAACAATAAAAAAAATATTTTTGCATATATCCCATAAAACACCAAGCACATATTTAGAATTCATATAAAAAGATTCTGCTCACAATTCATTTTTAAATTATATAGGACGATTTTATGTGTGACCAACATACGGATTGTTTGTTCCAAAAACCGATCAAGAGCACCTAAGGCATAAGAACGCTGAACTACGGGAGACAAAGGAAAAAATTGCAATAAGCTTTCCCAAAGGGCAGGGCAGAATTTAGGGGAGGGCAACCGGGGCTACAGCCTCGGGGCCTCCACAAAAGTGGGGCCCCCACAATAGAAACTTCGGAAGAAAAAAATGTTTTAAATTCCGACTAGTAAACACTTGTAAACATCTTTTCTTTTAATATTTTTTTATTCTCTGTTGTACCTTTACCTTTCTACAAAAACGATTATATAGTTCTTCAAAATTAACAGAAATCATTGATCTGTATTTTTATATGTTTGTTAAATATTAAAAGAATCTACTTGGTTTTACAATAAATTATTGATTGAAATTCTTAACTGAAAAAAAAAGGTTCATTTTATTTGGAAAATAATTTGGGGCCAGGAGGCCTCCACTCGTTTTTGTTGCACTGAGCCCTTCAGATCTCTAAATCCGGCCCTGCCAAAGGGAGCATAATTGCTTCATGTAGTGGAATTACGCAATAATACTCCCGAAATTACTAGTGAATTCCCGCAAATTACTTCTCACGTGTACGTGAGTTTTCTCTTCACAACAACAACAACAACTTCTACACGTTAGTTTTCTCTTCACAAATTAAAAATCAGGGAAGAAAATTTCATACTTGAATTTTAATTCTATTGTTGCTATGTACTAGGCTAGGTCTAACAAAAGGAGCCAACCCTGCTGTAAGCTTTTAACAAAAGCCATCTTATCATTCCATGTACAGGACATATAATGCGCTTATCGAGAATTTTCAAGGTTTCCTAAAAGGACATTATGGAAGAAGACTGTACAAATTATCTATTGCAAAGGGTTGCATAAAACTTGAATTAAAATCTATTTTAATCAAGTATAGCTTTAAGGACGTCTAAGGTCTAGTAGTCGCCGCTTAAAAAAAAGAGTGGCGGTGAAATTCTTACGTTTGTCTACGGACTAGACTCTAATCTATTACGACCTGCCTTGCGATTCTGTAACTCACTTTTCGAACTCACACAGCGGTTTTCACAGCGACGGTCCCGCTCAAATCAGTCGTGAAGCAGACATTTTATGATTTGACATTCTGATAAGGAGGGAGCTTGTAGTTTATTGTTACAGAATCGAAAGGCGGGTTGAATTTTTTTGACGGTTTAGATATGATGATAACTATAATCGATATTTTGTTTACATTTAAAACAAATTTATATGATCGGTAATTGAAATAAAGGTATCGTACAATCTGTTTTACTGCACTATTTTAGTACTAAACTATTACTTCGACACATAAGGCGAGAAATATGTAGGTAAAGTACTCACACTCCGTCTCCTCACTCACTTTGGTTAATAAGGCTGATTTATATAAAATTCTTTTACGTGTATTAATACTATTACAATAGACTCGAAACACTTACTCGAAAGTCGACTTAGGGTTTTGACTCTGTTCTGTTGACAGATTTAGATTTTCTCGAAGACGATAGCTAATACTGTGCGTCTTGTATTTTTGTAACGAATAAATTTAAAGACTCGAATCTTAACACTATTTCACAAATATATTGCTACATTATCCCTGAGTAACAGGCTAATTTATTTACAAAATTAAAAAGTAATCATGCCGTGCGAAGCCAGTTAACAGTGGACTGTATTAACCTTAATACGTGAAAGTAGTTATAGTTGTGAGAAAATTCATTACCTCATTGTAATAATCTAAATATGGCGACGGGTCTTGGGCCGATTTATCAGATTGATCCAGGGGCCAATTATTTTCTATTATCAATCCGTCGAATTTATTCGTAAAGGGCCATAATCTCTTAAGAAAATGGATGGAAGCTACGTCGTAGGCCGGATACATTACTTTTACTTCACCAACTTCGCCTTTGTATATTTCGAATGTGTGGGGATCGTGGTACATGAATAAGTCGAATTCCGGTAAAATTGTACAAGCGGGTGACTTTAACGTGGTTGTATCTTCGTTGAATCGAATCTGAAAAGAAAACAAAAATTAGATAATTTCTATACAAACACAAGACAATCATTGTTTCGACGAATATCAAACCCAGAATCTCTGGGTCTGTCATGGCCAACCAGCACAGGGGGTTCATGTCGAAGAACAAGCATTAAATGCTCATCACCAATATCAAATTTTAATTAAAAAAAACGAAAATTTCTTTATCAAAGTTATTTCAACACAAAAAAAATATATGTATCAATTTTGCATATTGTTTTAATTATTGCACGTTTGCTTGCTTTGGATTTAATATTAAGGCACCACCTGGCGATTTTTGGGAGTATAAGACAACATACTTACTAAAAGTCTAAAGTACATACATACGGGGAAATATGTGGCACAAATCTCTTCCTAGCCTGTCGTATCAAATTAGCACCGCTATCAACATCTTGTAAGTTTTTCACCTCCATATCTTCACAACGATTGCTTCCCAGTACAATTGGTCTGTGCCCACAGTGACTTTCAAATGGTATGTTTGCTGCTGTCAGTGTATTAATATAATTGTTAAGATCTTTGTCTGATGTTCCACTGGAAATAGTGAATTTTGAAAGATACCTTGTAAAACCAATTTGAATAATAGGTTAAAATGGCGTCTAACTACGAATCTGTTGCGTTGATATCGCAAGGTTGGAATGATATGGAATTAACTCAATATTTAAAACGGAACCACGTTAGAGGAAGTTAAGTGATGATGAGTTAAGTGACTATACGGCTGTGAGGCATGGACTATAGAACAAGTCACAAGAAGGCGTCGAAGCTTCGGTTATGCTTCGCATCAGCTGGATCCAAAGAGTGACGAATGAAAGAGTCATTGCCAACTTGCCTATAAAATGAAATATCACGCAATCTGGTCATGATTGTACAGGGTCGGAATTAGAGTTTTAGAGGCAACAAGGGAGCTCAAAGAGTTGGAGGCCCCCATGGTCCCAAATTATTTTCCAAATAAAATGAACAATGTTTTTCAGACGAGTTTTTCAATTAATACTTTATTGTGAAACCAAGTAAATGCTATTAGTATTTAACAAAAATATAAATACAGATCAATAATTTGTGTTAATTTTGAAGAACTATATAATAATTTTTTTACATAGGTTAAATAACGAAAAAGAAAAGAAAAATACTAGTGTAGAATTAGTAGTAGAATTTTTCAAATTTTTTCTTCCGAAGTCTATATATAGTCTTTAGTAGTCTTTGTACGAGTACATACATCCTGGATGTAAACGTAATTATATTATCAACAACTGGACATTTATAACACACTATTTACGTGCCCGGTTGCTTGTAATGTACATATGAAAGTAATATTTTTTGCTCTATCTATAGACCTGTCTATAAAAAAACCTGCTTGACGCCTGCCCGTTTACAAATTTTACAATTTGCGCGATGTTATTTATGGAAAATAGTTAGCTCATATTTTATGTTCTCAATAAAACAAATTGTCTCGTCAATCTAACTCAGAGTTATGCATTGAAGGATTTGTAATTGTATATTTATAATTACTACCCGCTCAAAATTAGATCAGTTAATTACTTTTTCTTGGTAAGAACTCTCTTAAGAGATTAAAATCTTGACCAAATGTTTAGGTAAGGTAGCCTTTAAATGATCAACTCTAAGTTATAAATGCTAATGGTCGAATAAAGTTGTCAATCATTAATAACGGTTGCAAATTCGTATTACTTACCAAATATGAGCGCCCAACATCCAATATTCAAGTTTCCAATTAGACCCGATTAAATTCATGGCATCGTTCATAATATCCTTCGGCGTCGGACCCACAAACAAATGAAATTTAAGTCCAGTACCCGTCAAACTTCTGACTATTATTTCATTTTCGTCTCGCACCATAATCTCAGTCGGTGCGGGCGTGTCCAATAATAGCCCGTGATACGACCCATTGTACTTTGCAAATATCAGTGGAATCGAACTAAAGTCTTTATTGTGGCTATAAATTACCTTTGCAGTGCCCGAGGATAGCGGTAATTCACCCAAACCGTACATTGTGGCGTTTGTTAATTGAAATGTCACTTCCCAAATGCCATCAGACGCGATCAAGGGTCCCCTGATTGTGTTAAAAATTGTTCCTTGAGGTCCCTTAACCTCTATATTAAGTTCGGGAGATGAGACCGTGTATGAATATGTTTTGTTGTATAACCTTTGTCCAGCTCTCAGGGGCTCCTTTCCGTTATAGAAGTGTATAGTGAGTTGAGTGGCTGTCCGTTCATTTATAGAAAGTCGTAGGTTCCTAAGGCTGGCTTTAGAGTTGTAGGGTATTGTAGAAACCCGTGGGTGTAAAACGAGGTATTGGGACCAGGGTACGTCCATGATGTATGAGAATCTAGACGGTAGTCGGTGGAAGCAAAAACCAGTTTTGACGTCATAACAACATTGTGCGTGGCATTCTCTTTCCGATACGTTACCGGGGCCACAAGGTAATCTTGAAGTTTGTGGTACGAGACATGACCCTACTGAAAGCTGGAAGCCTCCGCTGGGTATGAAATGAAATTGGTACAGTATTAATGGAACTAATACAGCTACTAGCACAAGACCAACGAAGACCTGCAATGGCCGGTTAAGTATTACATGCTCGTACCATTTCAGTTCTGAAACATTAAATAATTTGATGAAAAATATTTACGCATCATATTCCACGTCTTAATTAAAATTTAGTTTATTGGTTCGGAACACAGAACTAATTGTAACTGTTAGATTTATGACGCGCCAATTAAGCTACAATGACGCTGCGATAAGGCTTCAGTTTTTGCGTATGTTCTGATGGTTTAAGATAAGTACTATTAAAGTACTAGTAGCGTTGGATGTGTTTATATACAGGGGGGGGGCTTACAAACACATTTTGCGATTCATTTTTTTATTATAGATATGTACAATTAATGCTACCGATGTAAACCATGCAATTATACATTTCGTCAACCACGCTATAACAGAGTCAAAATTTATGTTCGCACTCAGAAATTATTTACACGAGGCTGTTATGGGATTCCCATATTATTACAGACTTAAATTAAATTACTTTTTAGATCAAAAGCCTTTTCGGAGGTAATTTAAGTCTTCGAGATACATTTATGTTTTAATAAATTAATTGGAAATGTAATGACGTAATTAATAATTATAAATTTTATCACCATCATGTATCAAATGTCCTAATAATTTTTAGGTTTGGTATGGTCCGCACTACTAATTTGTTGTAGTCTTAAATTAACATAATTATATTAAACCATAAAATATTTTTAAACAATAATATCTTGTTTACCTTTCTTTTATTTGTATAAAACATTCCATTTAAAAACTAGCACAAAAGACCTCTCAAGTAACGAGCCGTGTCATAGCTTTCAATCGATCTCTACAAGGTGCTTTGGTTAAATATATATCAACAAGTTTCAAGTTTCAAGAAAGTTTCAACTTTATTAAAAAAATTGTTACTATAAGCTGTTGCTCACAACTACGGTTACCGCTATATATTTTCCATGAATATATTCTTTTAAAAATCTAGGTTTGCTATTTTAAATATAGAACACGGCAAGAAGTAAGTAGGTTATAAATTCCGCCGTTGTAATGAAACACTTTTTCTCTGTAACAATATGTGGGTGGAAACTTTAGCGGAAAAGACAATAAACTTTCATATTTGGTCCTTGTCAAATTGATACTTTAATAATAGAGTAAAGGGTACGTCTTGAATACAAAAATAATAAATTACTTAGGTTACGAATCAATTTGGGACAATGCTGTCTCAAGGATTCACTTAAATAATGAAAGGTATTTAATGTAAGTTCATGAAGTATAACATAATAATGATAAATATTTATTATCTAGGCCAAACAAACACTACAACTAAGGTCACGTTAAAAATAAATATTAAAACTAGTCCGTATTTAAATATTTATTTTACTTGCATAAAATTAAACCTCACAGTGAGTTATTTTAGTTTTTACTAAACTCAAAGAAGAATTTATTCGAGCTATTTCTGACTAGGATATCATGTAAGATAAGAAATATATATATTATATTACGAGCTGACCCGGCTAACTTCGTTCCGCCTGACAGTCTAATAATATCGTATTTTAATCTTAATTTAGAATTTCATTAAGGTAATAACATTAATACAACTTTTTTTTGGAAATACAGAAATGTTTAATTGCTTGCCATTGCGAAAGAAGAATGGCAGTGTTACACATTAGGCTTCTCTCTAGCGCCAATATTGCGATACTGCATGTTAAAGCACTTTCTGATATACAACATTCATCTCCTCATTCACTTCAAGATCGGAATTTCTTTAAAATGATGCGTAATTTTGTCAGCACATGGCACCACATGTAGTTTGCATTCATAAAATTAATTAATTAATTAATTGTTATTCGATAGCTAATCCCATATTTTATAACTTATTCGGAGCGGAGAAGAATCCACCAAAAAAGAGATAACTAACTTCGGTCCAGCCAATCTTGAGTTACATATATAAGTGGTGTAACTAACACGACTTCTAATATATAAAATTCTCGTGTCGCGGTGTTTGTGGTTAAACTCCTCCGAAACGGCTTGACCGATTCTCATGAAATTTTGTGTGCATATTGGGTATAACTGAGAATCGGACAACATCTATTTTTCATCCCCCAAAATGTTAAGGGTAGTCCACCCCTAATTTTTTTAAATTTTTAGATAAAAATTTTATTTTTATTTTTTTATGATACAGCATTAAAAAATACATACAACCCCTAATCTTCACCCCTCTACGATCAACCCCTATTTTTATTATAAATGAAAAACATAGCAAA